ACCCCCTTCCTCCCCTGACAGACATCAAATTATAATTTTTATGTGACCTGGTGCTTTCCTGGAGGGGGATGGATGTGGATGGCAGTGCAGCCTCTGTGGCTGACAGCTCTCCAAGTCTGTCCTGCTGGGCACTGACCTGGGAGGGGTTGTGTGCAGGGGAATGAAGAGCAGCTTGTGTCTGGGGAATGAACAGCTGAGCCAAGTGTGCACCAAAACATGTACATGTACAAACCAGGAATGTCAAATTGCTGTGCACCTTTTTGAGGGAAGGCTTTACACAGAAGCAGCAAGCAGCCTTATTTCTCTACTGGTAAAATCAGTTAAAGAGAAATGCTATCTTTAGGTTTGGTTCTCCTATTTAGCATTTTCTAATGCAAAATAATAAAAAGCACTGATAAAATGAACTGTTTCCTAAGATATTTTTGAGGTGTCAAAATGCAAATGCTTCTAGTTTTTGTTTCCTTACTTCTGCCTTTTTCTTATTCTATTTTAGGCAGTCCATGATCTAATGGGTAGTGCTGTTCAGCCGCTACTGAACTCTGTAGGAGATTCAGTGGAAGCTATCATCATCACTATGCACCAGGAAGATTTTTCTGGGTAACTAGAAATATCTTTTAAATTTACCATTGCTCGAGTAAGATGTCCTGCATGTGTGTAATAGATTGTTATTGCCACAATGTCCTTGAAGCAAGAGTGCTTGTTTGTTGAGGGGAAGGTGATGCTTTATGGTTAATGAACACAGGAAGCAGAATTACGCCTCTCTGTTGAAACAAATTAATCAGGTAGCATCTGTCTTCTCTCCCTCCTCCTTTTTTTATTCCTATCTGTTGAGTAAAAATAATTTCAAATAGAAAAAGAAAGCTGACAAGAGGCCATTTTGGTGCTTAAAAAAGCCCTTTTGCTTTCAAAATGTGGTTTTTTTGGACAGTCTTCAGAACTGTCAGTATTCCTGTTTTTCAAAGCCTATAGCCTGTGATGTAATAGTTAAAATTAACTTTTTAAAAAATTTAAATCTCAGGTTCAGTATGTTATGCTATTTTCCCAGTGTGTTTTCATTAAAATTTCCAGGATTCTTTATATGTCAAGTATAATTGAGACTTCCTTCCTAAATTTTATTTTGGTTGTCATGTCTGTTCTGACATTGCTTGTATCATCAATTGTCCTGTTTTCTGTCGTGAAAATTGACTGAAAATACTATCTTTTCAGAGACGTTTTGAATTTTCCTTTTGAATTTTTTTTAACAACATTTTATGCTTACCCTCTTTTGGAACCAGTAGCACAATACCTCTCTAGATGGGCAAAGAGTTTTCAGCCAAAAGCTAAGTTTTGTTAGATAGCCTGTGTGTTCTTCTAAGTTTGGAAGAGCTCATTGACCTGACTGTCAGTCAAAGAAAGAGAAGGAGGATTGGTTTGTATCCAGGGGCTTCTATGCTGCTTCTGTGATACTGACTTTGTAATCCTGGGTTTGGAGGAATCTCAGAGATTTATTCTATACAAAGAACAGGTTTGGGATTGACAGGCTAAATTAGTAACCCTGTGACATATGTTTATATTTTATGATCCACTTTAGAGTTTTGAATCATCAACTGGGACATTCAAATTTAGGATCTGGATTTCAGGTGTAGGCTCCAAATTGAAGGAGGCTCTGCAAGTTGGGTAGGAGTGGGGTATTGCCCTTTATCTTGTTATTTCTTGTTTAATCTTTTAATTCTTCATGGGCATGGCTGATAAAGAGATATTTTCTGACTATAGTTTCAGAGAGAGTTACATGCTCCATATTCTGAGTAGAAATGAGACTCTACAATTCATGTCATGACTTGATAGGGTAGGAAAAAAGTTTAAAAGAATCCAATAGGTTTTGGTTTTATTTTAAAGATGAATTTAGCTGCCCCTATTTCTTTTTCTTCTCATGTTTTTTTCAGGTCATTATCCAACTCAGGAAAACCAGATGTCCCTTGTTCTCTCTACATGAAAGAGCTTCAGGGTTTTATAGCAAGAGTCATGAGCGACTACTTCAGACATTTTGAGTGTTTTGACTTTGTCTTTGATAACACTGAAGCCATGGCTCAAAGAGCAATTGAGCTTTTCATTCGCAATGCCAGTCTAATCAGGCCCCTCGGAGAAGGCGGGAAGATGCGCCTGGCAGCGGATTTTGCACAGGTACCCTCAGTGCTGATTTCTGCTTTTTAGTGTCATTTCACTGATTTCACTGAAATGTATCAATGCTTTTGTCCCCATTGAAGTGTAAACAGGCAGTTGTAGAGATTGGTACATTCCAGGCATAAACAGTCTCTCTGATAAGATACTGGATCCTGAGAAATGCATCCACTAAGTCAATGAAGATCCCTCACCACTGTAAGGCACATTCAGGCAGGTCTGACAGCTTCCTGTCCAGGTGAATGTTGCATTTAAATTCAGCTGCATCTTGGCATGTTGTCCCACTTGGCCAACCTCTGTGGCACGTCCATCATTTCCCACCATTCTTTCACTTCATTCTTTCTCTCTCTTCTAATAGAATATGACGTGGCACTTCCTTAATCACTCTCTGTATCACGGTGCCCACAGTGGTTAATGGCTAGCTCAGCTGCTTTGCAGTGAAGGAGACAAGCTAAAGAAACATCAATATCCTGGGCAAGAGCTGCCCTATGGAAAACAGAAGGGCAGTTGTCTTGTGAGATTGTGTTCGTGTCCCAATTGACTGACCTGCATCTCAGCTTTGCTTAACGCCTGTGCAGGACTGAGCCACAAAAGAAATTGCCAGATACATATCCACTACCTGTCTGTGTTATCTACTATATCAAAATTTAATTTGTCTGCAGTACCACTGTATGGTTAATGTGCCAAAGAATCAGGCATCCATGGATCAATCTGAGGCTGCCATTTATTATTATCCAAGTGGAAAAGAGAATTAGCACCAGCTGTCTGCATACTGAGTGCTGATTTTGGCTGGTAGGTAACTGAGGTAGGAGAGGAAGGCAGGGAGGAAGCAATTGCTGCCACCTCCACTCCTTCTTATGGCTGCTTTGTATCATTTGCCTGTGAATTACATACTCCTGAGTAAAATTTTTTTATTCGTTACTCAAAAATAGCAAATCAGCCCTTAACCACAGAAATGAAGGGGAAGTTTTCAATTGCTTTCAGCGAGAAGGTTCCATTCCCTTCTCTATTTTGAAGACAATGGCATAAAATTGGAAGCAAAAAAAGGACACTTGACTCTTCCTGTGGAAGGAATAGAGATAATTTTTGTAATTTATGCTAATTTTAACTAAAGTAAGTCATATAAATTTGGAAAATATTTTCACCTGATTGTACAGTAAAAGCATCAGATCTAAGCATGTGTTATAATCTAAAAATATAACTTCTTTATAATTTTTAAACACTGATTTTTCTCATTCTGACATGGGCTACCTTTTAAGTGAAAAATGAAGATGTGTTTTCCTAGAGTGTAGAGGAATTTGCATGGTCTTCCCCACTGTGCTGAGTATAACTCCTCAATGGACAACTGTGTAGAGACAAATATTCTGATTTCTTTTGTACCACAGTATCAAAAAAAAGGGGTGGAATTCATTCCTGTCTCCTGCCTTCAACTGTTGCTGCATCTGGGGGCTTGTGTTTTTCTTTTCTTCACATTGCACTGTATTCTTGGCTTGTTTCAAAGTGGGCTTAAGACAAGAAATCCGTGTCCAACCGTCTGCAGGAGCCAACTCAGCGCTCCCTGGGTGCCTTAGAGCATCTCTGCACAGAGCTCCTCTGGGCTGCACAGGGGCTGTAGTGTCCAGAATGGCCTGGACACTCTGTCCGCTTGCTCAGGATAGAAGGAAAAGAGCTGAAACATTCTGTGAGTGGATGCTGCCTTATACCCATGTTTTCTGGGATGTGTGTGCTCCTCCCCAACACCTGGTGCATTTTGTGCACGCGCCCACGATGCCAGCTCCTGGGAGCCTGGCAGGAAGGTGGTTGTTCTCTGACCCAGCTTTAGTGAGGACCAGGAGAGGTTGCTGCTGCTTTTGGCTGAGGAGGGCAGGGAGCAGGTATTTATCTGGGCTGCTGGCTTGATGAGAAGGATAAATTTTTCCAAATGGCCATAAGTGCCATGTGCAGGTGTTTTTTTCAGTCCCAGAAAGGCACTGCATTGTTGGACTAAAGCCAAACCCAAAGGAAACAACCTGCCTGGAAAGATACTTTGTGTAGGAGGAGGTTTGTTTATAAACTGTGTTTACTTGTCTTCTGTCTTGTAAAGTAATTCTGAATTTTTTTCTGTGCAAAAAAGGGTTACATGTTTCTGCTCAGATCTGACTTTTGAATCTAAAGCCCCTTCTGGTATTGTGGGTTGCTTGCAAGCAAAAGACCTGGGTAGAAATCTGCCCAGAAGCTTTGATTAGTTTGAGTTCTTATTATAAACACACATGCAATGAATCAAATAACCTTTGATTGCATCAGATTTTGGGTATCTCGTGCTTCTTCATATTCTTTCAGGGCACTCACAGAGTTACAGCTGCCTTATACTCAGCAATAATAGCTTTGGCTGAGAATCTGATTTGAAATTTTTTGCACTGAAAACTTGTCTTACTGATAAGTTGCCTCAAAACAACAGGTGTCCACACAGAAGGGAGAAAACCGATTTCAAGTTCTCTTCATTCAGAACTGAGTTTGCTGAGGTGCATAACAGCCAATTTTCTGGAGTGAGGCTCAGCTACTCATACATCAGGAATTGCTGCTGTAGCTCTGTTGAATTCTCTGTCTTGTCCTGTTTGCAGTGTCAGTATGGCATTAGGCTGTCCTGTGCATTACAGATTTCTCAGCAGTGAGACTAGGTGTGTGCTCCTGTGGCAGCTGTAAACACAGCTATGATAGGCTTGAAATATGCCTGAATATCATTAATGTGATTTCATGTAAATCAGTGCTTACAGGAACACAGGAACACTGTAAGCCCTAGGAAATGTGCACAGCACTGCAAGGTTGTTATTGTGCAGTGCCACAGTTCCTTGGGAATCTCATTTGAAACATTTCCAGGCTGAGTTCAGCTCTTTTCATGCTCTCAGTTTTTATGCAAGCAATTGCACAAGATTACTTTTCAGCTCACTCCTGTACATACCCAAATCAGCTTGTTTTATTTGGTTTTGTGTTTTCAAGGTGCCCATAATTCAGTATTCACATATTTAATAGCAAATTTCACTTTTTAATTCAGTACTTGTCAGACTGAAAAATAAATGTTCTCCTGGAGGCAAGAAAGCCAGCAAGCCCTGATGGTTTTCAACACTTCTGTTTCTGGGGAGTGCAAGTTCTTCTCCACAGGACCTTTTAATTTGCTTGGTGTTCAGAGTTGTTACAGCACTTAGGCACACTTTGGGATTGTGGCTTGTAGTTCAGGCCTTCCTATAACCTGGTGGAAGTGCTGGAAAATTCAGAAAAGAATGAATTATTTTTATTGGTCCTGTTAGAGCTAATACTATTCTCTATATGCTTTTCTGTATTTCTTATCTAGGCATCATTTATGGTTGGGATTTTTGGCATTGTTCAGTATTGCGTTCAGACTGTTTTGCTAGGGTACAGTTAATGCTGCCACTAATTCTTCTAGTCTTTCTCAAAAATTACTGCAAAATATTTGAGTTTTATTGAATTTTCCTAGAAAAAATGTTTTTATGGTAGAAGTTTACAATGCTAAATTCTAGTGTAGAAGAGCTGTTCCTACCTGCTGGCTAGATGATGGTCAGAATCTGGTTTCCTGATTCATTAAAAAAAGGCAAGATTATTAGGCATTTGGATTTTTTAAAATTTAGACAGATTTGCTCATTTGATCAAACATGATGATACAAGTGTAAAAGTGCTCTTTTATAATTTTTCCTAAAAAATTTGCTTTCTAGTGTCTTACAGAGAAATGAGAGCAGCAGGATGCTGTAATCACAGTTGTAGTCATAAAGACAGAAACTACTAAAGCTAAAATACATTTAATGTTTAGTGCTAATTATCTTCCTGGAAAGAGGGAATTATTTGCTGATGTGTGTTATTTTAGAGGTGTTCCAGCTGAAGGATTTACTTAAACATCAGCTGTTTTGGAATTGCTGCACTGGGGAGAAATCAAATTGCACATCCCTTCAAGGCCAGCTTCTTTCATATAATAGTTCAGCTCTTCTGCTCCCTTGCTTGTTAAAGCATTCTGTCCTCGTGAATGGCTAGAAAAAAAGCATTTTGAGGTAACATTTAAAAACTTGGAATTCATCTTGGCCAGGAGGAAATGTAATTGCTAAAAATTTAATGTTAAGATTTTCCAGCTGAAAAAACAGCTGTTTAAGTAATGAGAGATCTTGAAAATACCACAATAGCCACTAAAAAATAACTCCACTATGGGTTTTTTAAAGCACTTTTCAATATATATGCATTATCTGTATCTGGACTACGTATTAACTTCACCCTTGGATTGCTGGAGATAATCCAATTAGAGAAGCCAGGCATGTGATATATTTTTTTCAATATGGCCAGCCAGTGAATAGTTCAACAGATAATTGACGACCTAGCCATGGGCTATGGCAGAGTCATATCAGAAGAAAAGATAATATTGCCTTTTTGGGCTTAGATAGCATTAACCATTGAAAAGAAGCATATGTTTGGCAGGCACCTGCCACTGTGTCCTGCAAAGCATAGCAAACTAACATGAATAAATCATGGAAAAGCAATGGGTTTTGAACAAAGCTAAAAGAAACAAGTCATTAGGCCTTCTTCTGTTCTATCTGCTGTTTGCTTTTTGGCAAGCACATTCATCTCCTAATGCTCCCCTTGGATTCTGTGCTAATGACAATATCACATCAAGCCTCTGTGGTTGCAAATTACTGCTTGAACACCTGATTTATCACTGAATTTAACCTGAGTGTTTGAATTTTCAAATTCGCAGTTTGGAAGGGAAATTTGGAAAAGAATCAGAAAATACTACTTACCCTTTTATATGTAAAGTCCACAGGACATGGCTGAGTGAAAGGCCTTGCACACATAATACAAATACTAGCTGCCAACAGCCAAAAGCATCCCCTGATGTGAGAGCTCACTGACAGGCTCTGAAACTCTAGCTGTGTATCACAGCAGAGGCTGTGGAGTAGAACTGGCTGTGTGAATCAACAGTTGATGCTGTTTCAGGTGATGACAGGTAACAAAGCAGAAGTGATGCACGCTCAACTCTGCCCAGTTCCAGCACCTTGAAAACAGCAGCTGTTCCAGCCCAATGGTTCCTCCCCAGCACTTGCTCCTGGGCTGGCACAATGCTCAGCAGAGACATTAAACCCCTCTCAGTGGCCTCAGAAGTGATGTGACAGCAGAAAGATGCCATAGCATCCCACTGTGTCACTGAGATGAGATAAACACCTAAAATTCAAGGAAAGAAAACAATCTTAGTTGTTGTGTGAATTATACTGTTTATTGGAGAGAGATTTGGTTGTAACACAAAAACTAGTATTGTAAAGTTTAAAAAAAGAGTTTCTGTGGTTTATGTACATTTTTACCACATTAGTTTTCACTCATTCCCACTCTTCATGAGTCAATGTGAGATAGTATAGTATGCTGCAAAGCTTAAAAACAATATTTTTCTTTGGCAGCTATTACTTCACGAATCCACCATCTGCTGCCATTAAATCTATCTAGTTCTAGCAATACTAATAATTTCCTACAGTGAATAAAGGTTGAAGATGAAGTAATAGAATTTTCCAAAGTAATTTTTCTTCTTTAGTACTTAAGACTGAAAATTTTAATTTATGGAAACTACAAAGTATATTCAAGAGAATTCATTTAAATTTGTTTTAATAAGGAATTGGTTAAGCTTTAGAAAGTTTCACTTAACGTCTCATTACTTCATATTATGTTCCAGGAGCGAAACAATCTTTTAAAACTTATTAAGCAAAATTATATTCTGCCATGCTGTTGTTTCTTCCCCCCATGAGTACCGTTTGATCTACGCATCTCTGTTTCTGCAAGTCAGGCTGGCAGTTTGTTGCCTGTTATCAAACTCTCTAAGGAGCCTAAAGGAATTAGCTTCTCCCTGGTCCCTCACAGCTACAAGCCCACAGTTCCCACCAGAGCTGGGACACCAGTTCCTGCAGGATATCAGTTGCTTCCAGCCACCCCCAGCCAATACTGATGCCTGAAATGAAGCTCTGGAGAAATCAGACTCTTGCTCCCGTTTGTTTTTCAGGATCTGTAGGGTTCTTGTATCACGATGCAGCACAGCATCCTTGGTTAGCTCCTTGTTTTGGCTGCTTGCTCCTGATTCTGTGTGGCACACCAGCCTCTTGGCTCCCACCTGTGCTCCTGGGGCCCCTGGGGGAACAACATGCTGAACTTGCTGTAAGTTCATTGGAGTTTGGAGCCCCCCCTGCAGCAGTTCCTGCAGAGCCTGCCTTCCCTGGGAGCATGCCCTCACTCCCTTGTGCAGCAGATTCAGCACAGCAGCTGGTGCCTCCTGAGCCACAGGGACATTGACCTCCCACCTGCTTGCAGGAGAGGTGACCTCATCCTCAGGGTGTAGAGAGGGGCCATTTCATAGCCTAAAGGTTTTGGGACCAGAAAATGCAGGAGACAAAAGGAAGCCAGGGTGTTACTCAGGTCTGGAGCCTTATTTCCTTATTTCCTTATTTCCTTACATCCTGGATTTTTTATTCACTTTCTTCTCCTTTCTGTCTCCATAAAATGCAGATTTCAAGTGGCTTGGAAGTGCCTGATGTGGGCAGGTACACAGAGGTCCCTGAGCTCGGGCACTGCCCATGGGAAAGCTCTGTGGGGCATTCCCCATTGCTTTCCACCTCTCCTGGTCTGCAGGGGAGGCCAGGATACTTGGGTTGGATCCTGTGGCTTTCCCAGCTGTGCCTGAGTGTCAGGCAGGGGGTTACTCCTACAAACATGATCCACCTGACCTATTTTAGGTGTCCACTTTGGAGAAAGGTGCATCATCCCCCCAAGAGTGGCTGTTTCTCTCCACTGCCATTCAAGAGCATCTGTAGATGTTGAGAAGCTGGTGAGATGATTCCTATCCTGCCACCTGCTTTTAAAGAGGGATGCCTGACGTATATAGCCTTGATTTGCATTATTCACTAATTTCACTAAGTTCTTCTGGCTTTAGATGAACTATGGCATCATAGTTCCCTGCACCCTGTTCCTTGTTTATGCTGGAATCCCAGCAAAGTTTTGTGCTCTTGGTGAAGCTGGTGGCCCAGCAGCCATCTCTGTCTGAGGAAATGCTGGAGCTGGAAAAAATAATATTATAGTATTAAAGACTTCACTGTAAATAGTGTCATATCACAAACACTTCGAAACTCTTTCAGCAATATTACTTACAAGGGAAACTCATTGTATGGTGGTTTTGATCTTGTTACTTATTTTAGCTGTCATCCTTTGAAACTTAGTTTAATTGTGCATTATATGTAAATCAAAGTCTGAATAGTCTTTCAAGCTGGGGATTTTAAAAAACAGAGAATAAAGCTTGATCCCTTATTTGGCTGACATTTCAGAAATGCAAAAAATAAAGACTTAAGCCATGTCTGAGTGAAATTACCTGCAGGGGTTTTTAAGTGATGGTGTTTGTATTGGTGTGCACATTAACTGAAATTTTGCTGTGTAATGTTCATGTTCATTCTCGGATCCAGAAGGGAAACAATTCTTTCTCACTTCTGTGTCCTCACTGTTAATGAAGAGCCAGTGACAGAATTTAGATGTAAAAACCCAAGTGGAGCCTGGCTCTTCTTCAAAAAAGCTGAACACCCATGCTTCAACAACAGAAAGTGTTTTAAACTTGATTGTTTTTAAAGATGCCTGCTCTAACTCAGCAACCCAACAGTATGACAATAAATATGAAAGTAATGGTCTTACTTTTTAACCATGATTCCATATGACCCTTTGGCAATAGATCACAGCTGCCTTCTATCTAATCTGTATAGGTTTTTTGTCCCAAAATTTGGGGCCTGCTGTTCCAGAAAGAATAATTTTAACCTTGTCCTTCACCAAAGAAAAGGGTGCCCAGCTGAAATGTGCCTGCAGTTTTACTGCTTTAGCAATGGTTTGTGGAGACCTGCCTAGATTTGCTTTCTTCCCAGGCTGTGGTCAGATTTTTGGGGTATTGACACAAGTGCTTCATTAGGAAAATTATCACCAACAAAATAAACCTGCTGCAAGAAACAAAGCTTTAGTCTCAGAAAGCTCACGAGGCCCCTTCTGTTGTTATGCACAGACTGTCTGTGTCATTTGTCACAAAATGCTTATTGTGTTGCCAAGAAAAAGGCAGAAGTCTTGGCTTGGGCAACATAGTATGAAAGAAAAAGAGAGCTTCTTGTCTTCATTCAGCCAAAAGAGAAGAGAGAAGCCACTGACTTAGTCTGCAAGTTTGGATTATTGCTTAAAGACAGGCTACTTCAACAGCAGGTGTTATGTTTTGGGGGAATCTAACTCAAATGGAACTGTTTTGTAGATGGAGTTAGCAGTAGCACCGCTGTGTCGGCGAGTCTCTGACCTGGGAAAGTCTTACAGACAGCTGAGGTCATTCAGGTGAGTTGCAGTCCCAGTATGACTAAACTGTATTTCAGAACTGATTTATTGCCTCCTGTTAGTTCTGATTGAACTGAGAGCTTTTTTGGCAACACCCACCTGCAAATTAGAAATAGATTAAAGTTCTTTTAAATTTTATGCAGAGTATAACTATGATTTAACAATCTTTGTCATGCAAATGTTGGCCAAATTGTACTTTTTTGTGTTGCTTTCAGTACATCTTCTGTATGACAGCGAATTCTATACTTACCTTAAATGTTTTCACTGAAATACAAAATTTACAGTCCTGTGTTGTTTAATTACAATAGGCAACTGCTGTAAATTTTTGCAAACTGGACCTATGTGTTGAAAACTCAAGATGCAGAATAGGGGCAAAAAAACTCAATGGTTCTATCCTAACTAAATATTGCCACCACATAGAGGCACTTTTCTAATGTATAAAATTTTCTTCATTTAATGAGTGTATTGTTACATTTTTCCAGACCACTGCTGTTCCAGACCAGTGAGCATATTGCCAATAGCCCAGCTCTGGGAGAGGTTATTCCATTCAGCACTATTCTTCAGTTCTTATTTACAAGAGCACCACCAGAGCTAAAATCACCCTTCCAGGTAATAAGATCAACCTGTCTTTTATTTTCAGATGTCCTAAGGTGCAACGAACATTGTAGTTTGCCCTAGCTGTTTTAGTTTAAAATTATTCAAATGCATATTTTATACAATTTTTTGGCTTTGTTTTTATTGTGACAAAGGCTTTATAGTAATTGGTTTACTAAATTAATTGATTGATTGATAGGAGGGGTACGATAACCTGATATTAAATGGACTCTCAATTCTTTACTATTCTGTCAGCTCACAGTAGAAGTTCCAGACCTTTCCCCAGACTGCAAATTGCCTGGAATCCTTCTCTTGTAAGATGCAGGAAATCTAGATAAAAACCCTGTCAGAAATGGGCCAACAGCTGATGTAGGAGATGACCTCTGAGCTCCCAAATAACATACTGGGCTATTCCTGTTAATTGTCTTTGATTTCTTAATTCATTCTGTATCACTGCAGTATTGAGAGCCTCATGTGGCTTTCATTTATGTCATCTATGATTCTGAAATTGGTGTGTGTGTTTCCCTTTCTGCATTTTGTGTAATTGGTGTTTGTGTTTCTCTGTACCAGAGGGCTGAGTGGTCCATTGCCCGCTACTCCCAGTGGCTCGATGATCATCCATCTGAAAAAGACAGGCTTGCTCTCATACGGTAAAAATCGTGCTTCTTTCTTCTCTACCTTTATGATAATGGAGCAGTAACTTATCTGCACACTAGGACTCTTGAAAAGTAAAAAAAAATGTGCCTCAGGAGGTGTATCATAAATACCATTACCTTCTCTCCCCTCATGGGATGAGTTGCAAAGTGGCAGAAATATAAACTGAACTCTCCCCTCCACTGCCCTGTACTCAAACTCTCCAGTGCCTTTGGAAGGAGAACATAATCCTCTTGTAAAGGAAGTAAACCATGCACAATGATGGCTTAAATTAATAATGAGTTTTTGCAAAACTGCCCCTCTCTCCTAACAGCAGCAAGACTGCAGCTGTCCTGTCATCTGTATCAGGAAAGAGAAGCTCTGAAAGCTTAACCAATGTAAATGTAGGTAGAAATCTGAAACTGGAAGACCCTAGTTACATACCTGGAATGTTACTCTTCAGGAACTCAGTCCATGATCTTTAGAAAGTAATAATTACATGAGATTTTTGAAATCTTGCTAGGGTAGATGACTTCATAGGTAAATATTATTTTACATCTTAAGATGTTAGGAAAAGTTATGAAGAATCTTGTTTTTCAAATCAAGCAAAGTTTTGAAGTATATTAGAGAGAGCAAATTTGTATGAACATGACAAAACCAACCTGGGGATCCTCAGGATTCAAGACTCAGGTGATCATTTGGTTCCTAAAGCCCTGAACTTTCCAGCATCTTCACAGTGACCTTGGTGTCCCCCACAGCAGTGACCTGGGACACGCAGCTGCACCAGGCTCCATCTGGCCTGGGAGCCAGCTCTGTCCTTGAGCTACCACACATGGATGTTGCCAGCTTTTGCTGGAGTGATAAAAGCTGACTTTTACATTCCAGCCAACAGTAATTGTGCCTCAGAAATTCAACTGTTTTCTGTCCACACTTCTAAAGCAGCCAAGAGGAGTCTGCTATAAATATTTACACTTCCTGAAGCTGATAGCACCACACAGTCCCATGTAGAGATCAGGCCAGATAAGGAGATACTAGCTGATCACCAGTAGATGTTACTAGGATTTATTCCTGAAATATTAAAATACAAGCTGTGTCTCTTCATATGTGTATTTCATACTTGTGATTAGTCTAGCTTGTCTACAAAACCAGCTTTTCTTGAATCTCAAGGCATGATACTGAATTACAGGGACATAGGTGATAGGTACAGGGCTGACAGAGCTGTATATATAATCAGCTATGAATATTTTCATTGTCATTTCTGTCCTGATAGTACTAGCAACACTGGCACTGTTCAATCTCAGATATAGCAGGGAAAGCAGGGAATGCAAATCATTTGAGAACTGGTGGGATTTTTTCTCTTCAATTTGTTTTCCCAAGTTTGAAAATGCCATCCTTAAACTACATTTTTTTCTTTGTCTGCAATTAAATTTCATCCAGACTGATTCAGTTAATGGGTGTGCTGGTGGTCATGTTCAGACACTGATAAATTGTTCTAACCATGGAGGTATTACGGAACAAACTTTGGGATGAGGCTTTTAGGCCGAGACAGTGTCATCCATTAGACCAAGTAGCAAAGCTGGAATACTTAAGTTTTCCTTTCAATCCTTTCACTGAATCCTTTATTCATTTTTCATGGCTGGTTATCCATGCAGGCAAGCAGACATCAGTCACTAGTATGACCATGAATCACTGATATTTTCTTTAATACTCTATTGGAAGATTTCTGAGCCAGATCTTTGTGTGTCTCATATGAACCCAAGTTGAACTGCAGGTGTCTTGCTCTTCTATCAGTCACCCTCTTCATGCTTTTTCCACCTGTAGTGGTTCAGCTGTGTGAGTTGAACTTTGGAT